TCGGACGACTCGGACGACGACTCTTCGCCCGTCCGCCAACCTCCTCCCAAAGCGCCTCTCGTACCGACGACGACCAAGTCCGCCAGCCCGGCCGCACCTCGAGCCGCCGCGATGGCCAAGTCAAAAGCGAAAGCTCAGCCCATCCCTGCGTCTCCGCCTCCGACTCGTGATATTCCCCGGCCTCAGAAGGCGGCGGCGAAGGAGGCCAAGGGCAATGTTGCGCAGGAGGACGAGGACGTCGTGATCGCGTCCCACGTGAAGGAGACGAAGGACTGGCAGCCTCCGAAGCAGTCTCAGGACCACTCGCCAGTTTCGAGGCGCGGCAAGAAGCCTTCGCAGTTCACCAACGGCGGCGGAGGTGTCGGCGAGCAGATGCACAGCGGCGTCGACGTTGCGGTGGAGGCTGTCCCACCTCGCCGGAGGACAAGGGCGTCGGACGTGGCGCAGGAGCAGGACGAGAGCTCTGAAGGGCCGGCTTCGAAGAAGCGCAAGGTTGACAAGGGGAAGGAGAAGGAGAAGGTCGGGTCGGACGACGACGATTCGCTCGTCTTCACGGAGGTGAACAAGCGCTCCGGGACGCAGTCGTCCGATTTGCACATTCAGGAGGGCTCCTCGACGCGCAAGGGAGCTACGACAACGAGGAGCCATGCCGATGCTGGTGGCTTGGAGGGCTCGGTACGCTCGGGGGCGTCGACGCCTGATCCTGGGAGTCCGGACAAGAGCAAGAGGGCGAAGCTCCAGGCGACGGAGAAGAAGCGGGAGAGCAGGGGAGGGAGCGAGTCGTCGCCGGCGAAAGCTGGGACGCCGGGTGGAGTTGTGGAGCCGGCTGTGGTACAGCTGTCGTTCGATACGATTACGCTCGATTGAGGATCGGGTGGAGGAGCAGGGGAGCGGAGTGACGTGGTCCCCATCACATTTTTGCTTGCAGACGTTAGTTACCCCCCATCTTTCTTTCCACTGTGTTTTGTCATTTCGTGTGAGGTTGTTGCACCACCGCATCCCTTTGCTTTCCCTGACGAAACCTTGAGTGGCGAGAGAGCGCGCACCGAACGTTCAATCTCGCACGACCCGAACCTGAGACCCGAGCGGAGGAAGGGCCAGGCGGGCGCGCTGATCTTTGCCCCGCCTTTGGGTGAGCTTTCGTTGGCGGGCGACTCGTACTCCTCCTCCTTGTCACATTACTATCTATCTATTTCGACAACAATGTCGTCCCACTCGCAATCCCTCAAAATCTTCTCTGGTAGGCCCACTCTCTCGCTCGACTATCGCAGAGTCTGAGCTGGAGCGCGAGCTGACCTGCCACTCTGTTCCGTGTGCTCGCACGTGAAGGCACGTCGCACCCTGAGCTGGCCCAGCTCATCGCCCGTCGCCTTGGCCTCCCTCTGGGCGACTGCTCCATCGTCAAGCTCCCGTCCGGCGAAGTCTCGTACGTCCGAGTCCCACGACCCGCAGAGCTCCACGAGCAGCCGCGCCGCCGCTCTGAAAAAAAGGCGCGGGCGCTCGGGCGACAAGCGAGCAACTGCTGACCGTGGTTGGTGCGAAACAGGGTCAACTTCCACGAGAGTGTTCGAGAGTCGGATGTGTACATCGTGGCTACGGCGAGCAGCGACGAGACGGGCACGAACGGCGCTTTGATGGAGTGCGTTTTCACCCCTCCCCTGCCCTCCTCGCTGGCCCCGGCTCCGAGATGGAGGAGTTGAAGCAGGAACATTGTAGCTAACTAATGGACTGGTGGTGAACAGGCTCTGCATTATGGCGCACACCCTCCGGATAGCGTCTGCCCGTCGCATCACCGCCGTGATGTGAGTTCTTCCGCGATTGTCGCCGGGTGCTGTCGGCGGAGTTGGAGGGTGGAACACGGGGAGCTGATACACGCTCCCCATTTCTTTTTCTATCAACAGTCCCCACTTCCCATATGCTCGTCAGGACAAGAAGGACAAGTCGCGAGCTCCCATCACGGCCAAGCTCGTCGCGAACATGCTCGTCAGGGGCGCTGGCATTGACCATGTCATCGTGAGTCTCTCGGCCTAGGCTAGTGGTGTTTGGGTGGAGGAGAAGAAGGAGTTGAGGAGGGGTGTGGATTTGATTGGGAAAATGGAGCTGACGAGTGCGACCACACCACACCAGACGATGGACCTCCACGCCAGTCAGATCCAGGGCTTCTTCGACATCCCCGTTGACAAGTAAGCTCATTCCGACTTATCTCTCTCGTAGAAGCTTCACTGACCCTCTATACCTTACAGCGTGAGCCACTGCTGACCCTCTCGTTGCTCATCTCTCCCCCTCACCTCTGCTGACGCCGCTCCCAATCCGCACCAGCTGTACGCGGAGCCCACGATGCTCCAGTACCTCAAGGCCACCATGGGCGCAGAGATCAAGAACGCCATCATCGTCTCCCCAGACGCCGGAGGAGCCAAGCGGTTCGTTCTGCCCTCTTCTTCCATCCCGCCCATCCATGCTCATTTTACCCCACCCACACAGTGCCTCCTCCATGGCCGCGTCCCTGGACCTCGATTTCGCTCTCTTCCACAAGGAGCGTAAAAAGGCCAACGAAATCGCTCGCATGGTCCTCGTCGGAAACGTCGAAGGCAAAACCGCGATCCTCATCGACGACATGGCAGACACGTGCGGCACCCTCGCCCTCGCCGCCAAACACCTTCTCGCCGGCGGCGCCAAGTCCGTCCTCGCACTCGTCACTCATGGTATCCTCAGTGGACCGGCGGTCAAAGTGTTGAACGAGAGTCCGATCGACAAGTTGATTGTCACCAACTCGATTCCTCAAAAGGCGCACAAGGAGGCGGTTGAGAGGTTGAAGGAGGTGGATATCAGTCATGTGCTTGCGGAGGCGGTGAGGAGGAGCTTCTACGGAGAGAGTATCTCGGTGTTGTTCAATTCGTGAGTCTGCGTCTCTTCTTTAGGGTGGCGTGGGGAGTGAGGATGGGAAAGCTGACTGTTTTTGGTGTGTCTCCTTCAGCGTGCCATACACTGAGGCAAGCGCCCCCTGAACTCTCTTTAGAAACCGACTGTAACGACATAGAACTGATTTTCAAACTATCTTCGCATGTGCTCCCCGTTCCCGTCCCTCTCTTCTCCCTCAAACCCGCTCGTCAACTCGTCAACTCGTCAACTCTTCCCTCCAGGTCATCCGCCACGGTTCGCTAATCTCTCTTCAACAGCGGCTTTCCCAATAACTGACTTATGCCTCTTGCTGTTTCGTGATTTTCTAGACTACGCCCAGAGCAAGGAAGAGGCCGAAGAGAGCGCTCGTCCGATCGCCAAGGCGAGGAGCCAGGTCGATCTCTTGCGCCAGGAGCTGTAAAACTCGCATCAGCATCAAGTGGGGGACAGAAACGAAACGGTGTGTCACGAATATGAGAATGTATTTAACCCTCTTCCATACGCATCTTTTGGAGCGTCGTCGCTTTGAAAGCCCGAACAAGGCGGCTCACCTCCGGAGGAGATGCGAGCGGTTTGCGATGACGTGGCTGAGCGATACGAGCGAGTTTCGATAACGATTGCATTTACCCACAAACTCACATCCGCCTACCATCCCTTCTCAAAAGTCTCCCACTCACTCTCCAAGCTCTGCCACTTGTCCTGCTTGCCCGACACCAACTGAGCTCCCTTGCGTTCACAGACGGCCTCGAACTTGCGATTCAAGTTGGGGTTCCCGAAGTGTTTGTACCCACTACTCCCGCTGTACTTTGGCATCACCAGCCTCTGAAACATCGTCTCGATCCCCGAAACCCAACTCAAGAGGATGTGCATGTCCTTGAGGACCGACTTGAGTCCCTTCTTCTGCAACGAGTCGAAGCGAACGACGTCGAGGTTCGGCGCCGGGTGAGCGTCGAGGCTGCGCAAGGCATGGTAGATGTCGGGTGTATATCTTTCTTTGGTCGGCCAAGGATCGACGATGCCCAGCCGCTTGAGGTTCTCGAGCGTCGCCGGCGCCGTCTCGAAGATCCCCTTGATGGTCGGCGCGTCGGCGAGCAAGGTCGTCCACTTGTCGACCGCGCCCTCGGTCCACGTATTCCATCCGTACTTTACTCCAACGCACTCGAACGACGTGAGCGCGGGGAACATCCTCTCTTTGACGTTTTCCGAATGGGTATCGATCGTGCCATAGAGCGTCTGGCGCCACGCGGTGACTGACTGCGTTTCTCGACGGCCGTGATAGCCGTGAGCTTGGGGAACGTGTCGACCGCTTCGTCGGGCAGGAAGGTGACGTAGAATCGGGTGGCATAGAGTTTGAGGGTCTCGAGCTCTGATTAGTTACAAAAGTCAGCTGGCTCCGCCTGGGTGTTTCACGAGACGGCGGTCTGACGCACCTTGGAAGCAAACGATCGCGCTCGTCTCTACGGCCAAGCAGCAGAGAGACAGGTGATTGATTCCTACGAGTCGTTCGAACACCGGCGGCCCGTCCTCGAACAGCTTCACCTCGTCGTCGGCGAACCTGCGGTCCGAGTGTCGTCCCATCCGAAGCGACACGGCGTGCGCCCCCGTCAATCCCCTCGAGCTCGCCGATTCCGAGCCTAGAAACTCTTCGAGAAGCTGAATAGAATTGTTGGTGGGAAGGTAGATATGGCGGAGCAGCTCGGGCTGGGCGATGGCGCACCACGCGCGGTTGACGAGGCAGAAGCGGAGCAGGAGGCCGTACCGCTCCTCGAGATTCGTGTAAGTTGTTGGAGGAGGGAGACTGGCTAGAAGGATTTCTCGCTGCAGTTCTAGCGGAAGGGGTGGTAAGGACATGTTGGCGGAGGTGGTCGGAGGTGGAGCAGCAACGCCGAAACCGCACGCCGCTGTGAAGCCGCTTTGCGCTGGACAAACTCAAGAAACGTCGGCTATGTGAAGCTACACAAATGAGCTCTGGCACGAAAGGAGGAAGCTGATTGTCAAATAACTACCCTCAACCTCCGTAGGGATAGTTCCAGAGCAATTTTTTTTTTCGACAGTTGGGCTGTCCTGTACGCCATTCAGAACACGTGGTCTGTATCAAAAACGGCGATGTAGCCAAGTGGTTACGGCGATTGACTCGAATCTTCTCTTGCTTCGTTCCATCAATTGGGTTTACCCGCGTAGGTTCGAATCCTGCCATCGTCGGATTGATCTACCTTTTTTGCATCGCTAACACCAGTTGGTTCGTGCACGCTATCGAGTCTCGTTGCATTTCTTTTTGCTCACTGCAGGCTTCCCTCGCTTTTCGACACGAACAGGCTCTCGTTTGGGTAGGAGATGTTTCGATTCCGACGAATGACCGTGCCACGTTGGCGCCCGCTGCCGAGGCCCTTCCGTCAGTCTCTGCCGACACTCCCTCTCTCTCCAAACATGAATTAAATGCAGTCGAATCAAGGCTTCCGGTAGCAAAGAAGACTTTCCACGCCCTCAGATCGACATGACACGACGTTTTGTTGTGATATCAGACACTCGGAACCAAAAGTACTAAAGACGCTCCCCTCCCCTACCCATCCGTCCCTTCCACGCCGGCCACATTTTTCTCCCTTCGACGATCTAAAAAGGGTGTTTTCCCCGACTCAGGAGAGCATAGTCATCCACGCCAGGAGGAAGAAGAGCATAAACAGGGGAAACACGGCGAGCACGGCGCGGTCCTTCTCCAATCGCGTGCCTCCGAGGAAGTTCACCGCGGCTGCATCACACGAACGTTAGCATCATTCATCCTCATCTTCAAGTTTAAAGCCAAACGCACCCCAGATAGACCAAGCGAAAGCAGCGGCGCAGATGGGCACGCGGACGTAAATGAGTCGCACAAAGACGGAGACGATGGCGGCGAGGTCGAGGGGGAAGATGCAGTATCCAAGGACACAGAGGGATTGGAAGAAGCTCCTGTTTCGTCGCATCCATTCTTTGCGTTAGCTGCTTCCGAGAGGAAAAAGTGGGGGGGAAGCAGGACCAACACTTTGCCGCCGAGGAGCTTGGCGTTGAGTGTGACGACTATGGAGCCGACCCAAACGATGACGAAGACGCCGGTGAAGATGGGGAGGGACTGGTCGGCCGTGGCTGAGAGAGCAGGGGTGGAAATCAGCTTCGAAGTGTTTACGCGGGCGCGCGACGGGGCGGCGTACCGTTCATGGAGAGGAGGACGGCCAAAGCGAGACAGAACTAGATTGTGGCAAGTAGAGTTAGTCATGTGAAGGAGAGAGAAGAAGGAGCGACGCACGATGAGAGGTCCCCAGAGGTCCCACTCCCTCAACACGGCGTTCTCAGCCGTCGGGTTCAGCACCTGCACAATCTTGGTCCCGATCGCTCTCAGGTCCCTCATCTGTCCATCGCAGTCAGTCTACCACTGTTGCGCGCTTCCCACACTGCGAGGCGGCTCACGATGGTCTCTGTGACAGGCTCGTCCAACGTGTCGGATCCCGTGTACCTGCCAAACCCACGCGCTGATCAGCGTCGCTCCTCCCATCCTCCGTCCCGTCTGAACGCACCTCGTCTCAGTCTGGATCCCACCCACGGTACTCCTCGTGCTCCTCTCGCCCACGCCCCCGGAGGTGGAGCTACCAATCTTGCCCGCGAGGAGGTTCGGGTCGGGGCTGTTGCTCACGCTCTCGCGCCCTTTGCCCTTCTGCTGAGCGGTCGGGAGGAGGTTGGCCGAAGTGGTGGCGACGAGGTCGTCGTCGTCCGAGTCGGGGGCGATCTCGTACGCCTGGTGCGCGTTGTAGCTCGACATTGGGTGCGAGGCGCGAGGCTAGCTCAACGAGGGTCGATGGGAGGCTGGGCGCGTCGACGGCGAGAGAACGGAAAGTGGATGGAGGCGACCTGGTGCTGCTGCTGGCTGGACGTCGTCTCAGTGACGGAGGACGATGGTCGTCGTCGTCGGTGGATCGTGCGAGAAGTGCGAGGCAACGTTGCCAGCTCTGCCTGAGCGCGGCCGGGCGAAGCTTCGACTCGCGTCGGCACTGCGCACCGTCGTCCAGGCAGAGCTTCCACGGCGTCGACGCGTCCAACGCGACCCTCCAGGCCCATGACTGTCTATAATTGCCTCTGAAACTTGCCCTCTGAAGGGTAGCTAAGTATGCTGAACACCTGACAGAGCTGGCTCTTCTACGCTTGTCACACGGCGCTGTCTCTCACCACGTGGATCTTTCTCTGGTTGATGCCCCGCAGTTACATGCTCACTTGTGGGCAAGACATCGATTACCTGGCTTTCTAAAACGCACGTTCATTTTTGGATGAACCACACCGCACAATCAGTTCCCGCTCGCACTCCGGCTCGTCCCCGACGCGGCCCCGCAAGCAACACTTCGATAGCTTCCCGCTTTCGACTCCTTTCTTTCTTTCCTCCTCCCACCTCCTTCTTTGACTTTTACCATGTCACTCCCATTTCAAATCGCTGGCGGTATCTCTCTCGCCACGGCTGTCGGCCACCTCCAGTGAGCCTGTCCCAGTGGGGGGGCGTTCGAGCTTGTACGGTGCTGACAGGAGTGTCGAGTACAGCATGGGACTCACCATGGTGAGTCTGACCTTGTAAAAGCCTAGAGTTGTGAGCCTGACAGACATTTATCAGCTCAAACCAGGACTCAACCTCAACAGCCTTGAAGCCAGGACGGCGTTGGGGGGTTGGTACGAAGGGACTTTCGCATTCGTCGTCTTCGGTGCGTCATGTTTCTCATAAACATGGAGCAGTTGAATCTACGAGCTGACGGATTCCCTTTTGCCACTCAACCCAGGTCTCAATTACCTCCGCCTCGCGCGTTCCCTCGTCTTCACGGTACAGTTCCTCTCTTCTCCTGCGGTAGATGGTAATCATCAAAACTCATGTACCCTTGTCAGCGCCTCGACTACCTCATGATCCTCAGCCAAGTGGGCATGAACGTCTTTGCCGTGCTCAACCTTGAGCCACCTCCAGCGAGAATCCTCAACGCCATCATCGGCTTGTCGGCCATCACTGGAGTTGTTTTGAGGAGGTAGAAGATGTACATACCGCACAAACATCAGTCTTGCTCCTACTTCCTTGCTGTTTGAACCCCCGAACGACCCCCAGATCGTCTCGTCAAGAAGACACGTGTTCCTCTCACTGTAAGCGCGAGAAGGCAAGCTACCACTGGGTAACATCCAGCCACGTATTTTTCTCCTTTTTTCTCTGGTTGGGTTTCTTCTTTCTCCAGAGAGGTTCTCCACCGAGATGACCTCCGTTCCTCGGACCTCAGCAGTGCGCAGCACTATCGCACCTTGCCCGGAGTCTGCGAAAGCGCGATGATCTGCCCCAATTTTGGCTGTTGTTCGGAGCCTGAAAAGGCATAAATAGGTTCTCTGAACGATCTGCCGCTTTGCTTCCTTTCTCCACCCATCCGACGCACGCCACAAGTCGTCCCCGCTTCCACCGCGTCACCTCACCTTTTCCCCCACCCCCAACAACAACGACTCTTGATTTTCACAGAGAACATGTCGGTTCAAGACTGGAGTCGTATTATCGGAACTGTCGGTGCTGGGACGATGAGCGGCTTGATGCTCAGCATCCCTCTGTGGTCGTTCCCCGTCATGTGGGGCGTTCCATCATTGTCGGAGAAGGAGAGGGTCCACAGTATGTCCTACTTTTGCTCTTTCTACACATTTGAATACACTACTTACTCTCCCCTTCTCTCTCTGCGCAGTTTGGAGCAAGACCTACGCAATCGGTAGGGCCCCTTTCCTCCTTCCCCACGTGTCGCCCCCCCCCCCCCCCCCCATCTAACGTTTCCAAACCCCTCACAGGCAAAGCCACCGCCCTCAAACTCATTCCCGTCTCTACCCTCAGCTTCCTCATCTCCGCTTACTACTCCTCCTCCTCCACCCCTCTCACCACCCTCTCCCCGATCCACGCCTTCGTCTCGCACAACCGACGCTCGATCCTCCTCCTCGCGGCGGGATTCATGGCCCTCAACATCCCGTACACGGGGTTGAGGATGAACCCGCACATCCACAAACTACAGAGGATCGAGAGGGAGATGATGCAGAGTGAGTTTTCGAGGGAAGTCCTGGAGAGTGAGACGAAGAGAGCTGACGTGGCGCGGCTTTTGTGCTTAGGTCCCGACGGCAAGAGCGAGCATGACAGTGAGCCAGATCGTCCTATGCTCCACGACGTGTGTTCTCTAACTCCTTCACTAAACAGCCGATGCACTCATCACTCACTGGCTTGGACTGCACAACGTCCGCTTTGCTCTGACGTTCACCGCTTTCGCGCTCGCGTTGACGGAGCTCGTCTTTGCCTAAGCGGTTATTCCCGCCAACTCAAATCTGTAGACAGAAAGTATACTACTTCAACAAATGCAAATATTTTCCATCGTCCTCTCAGTCCTCATCAAGTCCAAAAACCCCGTCCTCGTCCTCATCCTCATCCTCAAAATCCTCCGCCACCATAGCCCTCAACACGGCCAACGCCTCCAACCCACTCTCACTAATCCCTGAATCCGAGTCCTGCTCCACATCACTATCGCCACTATCCTCACTTCCCCAACTATCATCCTCCTCACTATCTTCCTCATCACTCGTATCCCTATCCTCCCACAACCTCTCGCCCAAAAACCTCCTCTCATCATTCTCCAACAACTTGTCGAAGTACTCCAACGTATCGAGATCCTCTTCCCTCTTCCTCCTCTCCCTCGCCTCCAAACTCTCTCCTTCAAAGTCCACCAACCCTCGATCCATCATCGTCGTCACGTCGAGTGGTTTCTTTTCTCGACGTGAGAATGGTTGAGAGGAGGAGGAGCAGGAGGAGGGAGTGCCGGAATGGACGCGAACGAGTTTCTCAACTCCGGAAGTGAAGATCAGGGGGAGGGTAGGGTGGAAGAGAGCGGTGTTGACGATCGAGCGGTGGGAGGTGATGATGGTCGATGGCGTCGTGAGGGAGGAAGGGGTGGTCGTGTCGTCAGGCGCGACTGATGGGTAGAGTTGGTACGCTGCGAAAAGAAGGCGACGACGTCAGTCGGAAAGCAGACGCTTGAATAAAAGATTTCACTGACCGATGTGAGGGGATGGCAATGACTTGTCTTCTCCATTCAGTCGACGAGCCTTGAGGACGTCGATCGGAGGCACGCTCCAGACGTATGTCCGGAAGTCGTCGGACCCAGCAGCGTAGTAGAGAGCATCAGGTGTTCCTCCAAACG